AAAAATTAGCAGCCAGGCATGATGGCTTACACCTGTAATCCCAGCACTTTGGGAGGCTGAGGTGGGCTGATGACTTGAGGCCAGGAATTTGAAAGCAGCCTGGCCAACACGGTGAAACCCCGTCTCTACTAAAAATATAGAAATTAGCTGGGCATGGTGGCATGCACCTGTAATCCCAGCTACCTGGTGGCTGAGGTATGAGAGACTGCAGTGAGTCGAATTGAACCACTGCACTCTGGCCTGGGCAACAGAGAGAGACCTTGTTTTAAAAGAGGAAAAAAAAAAAAAAAACTGAGTGTGGTGGTGCACAATTATAGTCTCAGCTACTTGGGAGGCTGAGGTGGGAGGATTGCTTGAGCCTGGGAGGTGGAGGCTGCAGTGACCTGTGATTGTGCTACTGCACTCTAGTAGCCTGGGTGACAGAGCAAGACTGTGTCTCAAAAGAAAAAAAAAAATAATAAAAGTCCATACCCTACTAGAGGGTTTTAGCCTTTTTTGAGCTACACACCCCTTTAGCAATCCAGCAATGTCTAAGGAACCCTCTTCAAGAATATTTATCTATCTATTTATTTATTTTTTGAGACAGGCTAGGGTGCAGTGGTATGATCTTGGCTCAATGCAGCCTCTGCCTCCTGAGCTCAAGTGATCCTCCCACGTCTGCCTCCAGAGTAGCTGGGACCACATATGTGCCACCAGTCCTGGCTAATTTTTTTTTGGTAGAGGCAGAGTTTTGCCATGTTGCCCAAGCTAGTCTCAAACTCCTGGCCTCCAAGTGATCCATCTGCCTCAGCCTCTCAAATTCCTGGAATTATAGGCATAAGTCTGGCCAAGAATATTTATAAATTCATAAAATAAATACATAAGAAATTATATTGAAAGTTTTCAAAATTTAAAACAACCAAATGTGTAATACAGTAATATGTCCTTCTTTATTAATATATTAAATAGTAAGATCTAGTGGTAGATCTAATTACTAACTTAATTTCAAAATATGGAGGAATGTAAATGATTTCCTTTTTTTTTTTTTTGAGACAGAGTTTTGCTCTTGTTTCCCAAGCTGGAGTTCAATGGAACAATCTTGGCTTATTGCAACCTCCGCCTCCCGGGTTCAAGTGATTCTCCTGCCACGGCTGCCTGAGTAGCTGCTGGGATTACCAGCACACGCCACCATGCCTGGCTAATTGTTTGTATTTTTAGTAGAAACGGGGTTTTACCACGTTAGCCAGGCCAGTCTCGAACTCCTGACCTCAGGTGATCCACCCGCCTCAGCCTCCCAAAGTGCTGGCATTACAGGTGCGAGCCACCGCGCCCAGCCAGTGATTTTCAAGGTACCAGCAATAACTAGTGTGTTAGGAAGATTCCTGCTAGTACTATCATGAATTGTTGCCAATATTCATAATCACAGAAAATACTAAATTTCAATGGATGAGAGAAAATAAAATTGTGCTTTCTCACACCTTACCCCCACCCATGAAAAAGATTCCCCTTTAAAATTTTCAAAAGTAGAGAGAAAAGAAGTTTTATGTTACAAATTGAAGGAGGGAGTTAGACATTAAGAAAGGATGGAAAAGATGACTTTGAGATGTATTAGCATCCTCCTTCTGAAACTGGGTGGGTGAGATGCCTCTGGACCTAGATGCAGGTCCAAAGAGCAAAGCAGAAAGGTGGGAGCAGGGGTGGGAGCAGTTGCTCTGCTCTCTCGGGAGTCCACACGCAAGAGGGAGCTGCATCTCAGCGTGATCATCTCAAATCCCAAGGTACCATTACACCAGGCATTATCCCTCTGCCTTCTCCACTTCCCTGACTCCAGCATCCTCAGTTTTCAACATGACCTCCTCTTCCCACCCCAACATAGCTTTAAAGCTAACTGCATTGACTTCACTTCAGCAGAGCAGGTTCTCGGTAACTGGAAGGCACAGAGCAGCCCATCTCTGGGGCACTTTTTGGCCCTCAGTCTCAAGATTTTTCACAAAGATGGAACTGGAGCTTTTGTCTTTTCAGCCCAGAATCTGGGCTTCCTGAAGGAAATTCCACAAGAAAAACAAACTGCAGTGCAGATTCTGGTCTCTAAAAACCTTCTCTAAGGGTGGGGACTGGGAGACAGGTCTAGATCTTATAGAGGGGGAAGTCTGGCTTCGGTGTTCTCTGGGGGTCTCCCTCCTGTCCCCAAGGCTATTTCTGGTCTTCAGCGGGGTAGGGTACTTATTAGATTGATTTTGAGATCCAAAGTGACCCAGAGGCCATGTTTTGGAATGAAAATTCCCAGTGGACTTATCATACCTTTCCAAGGGATGGCAGCTATAACGCCTGGCTCAGGGCTTCTACCTCCTTCTATTTCTTCTGCAGCCACTTCTACCAAATCTGCACGCAGGCTGAAAAACTCAGCACTGATAGTGGGAAGACAGACAAGAGAAATTCCTCCAGCTCCAGGCCTTCAAACTGTCAGGCATCAGGACCCCCTCCCCCAGCTCCTGAGAGTCAGGAGCTGCACAATCTGGTGGCTTGCAAGGTGTCAGCCACTTCCCAAAGCACCCCAATATAAAATCTCAGTAGCAACTCATTTTCTCCGTTACTACAGTCCCCAAGCCTCACCTAGACAGAAATTCTGGAGCTTGCAGCATTTTGCAATCCCCAGCTGCAAGCCCAGAGCCGGGTTTCCCAATCTGTAGAGTCCGCAACCGCGTCGCCTGGGCGGGCAATGCCGGTAATCCCCAACAAGCCCCAGCCTGCTCGG